CATGTGGCTGTCCAGTTTTCCCAACACCATATGTTGAAGAGACTTTGTTTTCTCCATTGTATGTTCTTGGCTCCTTTGTCGAAGATTAGCTGTCCATAGATGTGTGGGTTTATTTCTGGGCTTTCAATTCTATTCCATTGATCTGTGTGTCTGTTTTTGTGCCAGTACCACGCTGTTTTGGTCACTATAGCTTTGTAGTATATTTTGAAATCAGGGAGTGTGATACCTCCAGCTGTGATTACTTTTTGACTTGGGTTATTTAGAAATGTGTTGCTTAATTTCCAAATATTTGGGAACTTTTAAAGATATTCTTCTAATATTGATTTATAGTTTAACTTCATTATGGTCAAATTTCAGTTCTTAAATTTATTGAGGCATGTTTTATGGACCAGAACGTAGCATCTTGGTTAATGTTTCCTGTGCACTTGAAAAGAATATGTATCTTAATCTATTCAGGCTGTTATAACAAAACACCACAGACAGAGTGGCTTATAAATAACAGACATTTATTTCTCACAGTTCTGGAGGCTGGAAGTCCAAAATCAGGGTGCCTATATGGTTGGGTTCTTGTGAAGACCCTCTTCCAGGTTGCAGAACTCCGACTTCTTGCTGTGTCCTCACATGGTGAAAGGAGCAAGGGAGACTTCTTAGGCCTCTTTTGTAAGTCAATAATCCCATTCATAAGAGCTCTGCCCTCATGACCTAATCACTTCCCAAAAGACTTACATTCTAATACTCTCACTTGGGTGGTTAGGATTTCAACATATGAATTTAGGGAGAACACAAACATTCAATCTATAGCAGCCACTATTGGGTAGTGTATTCTTTAAATGTCATTTAGGTCAAGGTGATTGATAGTGTGTTCAGGTAGTCTATATCCTCATTGATTTTGTTTAGCTATTCTATCAACTATCGAGAGGATAGTATTGAAATCACCAATAGACTGTGGATTTGTCTATTTCTACTTTTATTACTATAAGTTTTGAGTTCATGTATTTTGAAGCTTTATTATTTGGTGTATACACATTTAGTATTGTTATATTCTTTTGTTGAATTGATCCCTTTATCCTTATGAAATGTCCCTTTTTTCTCCCTGATAATAATCCTTGTTCTAAAGTCTACTTTGTCTGATATTAATATAGCCATTCCAGCTTTCTTTAGATTAGTATTTTCAGATTACATCTTTTCCATTATTTTACTTTTAACCTGTGTCTTTGTATTTAAACTTTTTTGGGTTAAACAGTGCAAAATTGCTTCTTACTTTTTTTTTTATAATGAAACAATCTCTGCCTTTTAATTGGGTATTTAGATCATTAATGTTTAATGTAATTATCAATGGTTTGGTGTAAATCTACTATCTTCATATTTGTTTTCTATTTAAACCATATGTTTTTCTTTATTTTTCCTCTTTTCTTTCCTTGTTTTAGATTAATTGATTATTTTTTTTTTTGGTGAGGAAGATCAGCCCTGAGCTAACATCCGTGCTAATCCTCCTCTTTTTTTGCTGAGGAAGACCGGCTCTGAGCTAACATCTATTGCCAATCCTCCTCCTTTTTTTTCCCCCAAAGCCCCAGTACATAGTTGTATGTCATAGTCGCACATCCTTCTAGTTACTGTATGTGGGACGCAGCCCCAGCATGGCCAGAGAAGTGGTGCGTCAGTGTGCGTCTGGGATCCGAACCCAGGCCGCCAGTAGCGGAGCGCGCACACTTAACTGCTAAGCCACGGGGCCGGCCCTAATTGATATTTTTGTAATTCTATTTTATCTTCTGTATTGGCTATATATTTTGCTTTAATATTTTTGTGTGTGATTACTCTAGTGTTTGTAACATATATTTTTAACTTATCACATTCTACTTTCAAATAATAATATACCACTTCACAAATAACGTAAAATCTTAGAGCCCTATACTACCAATTACCCCTCCCAATCTTTGCACTATTGTTGTCATTCATTTTATTTTTGTGTGTGATACAAACTCCATACTGCATTGTTATTATTTTTCTATAAATAGTCAATTTTTTAAAGAGATTATTAAAATGAGAAAAATTTCTTTTATATTTATCCAAGTTTCTCATTTCTGTCATTCTTCATTCCTGTGTATGGATCCAATTTCCATCTAATATGCATTCTTTCCACTTTAAAAACTTCCTTTAGGGGCCAGCCCAGTGGCACAACTGTTTAAGTGTGCGTGCTCTGCTGTGGCAGCCCGGGGTTCGCCAGTTCAGATCCCGGGCGCACACCAACGCACTGCTTGTCAAGCTATGCTGTGGCAGCGTCTCATATAAAGTGGAGGAAGATGGGCACAGATGTTAGCCCAGGGCCAGTCTTCCTCAGCAAAAAAAAAAAAGGGGGGGGGGGAGGATTGGCAGATGTTAGCACAGGGCTGATGTCCTCACACAAAAAAATAAATAAATAAAATAAAAACTTCCTTTAGCATTTCCCATATTGCAGGTTGGCTGACAATGAATTCTGTTAGCTTTTGTTTGTCTGAAAACTATTCACCTTCATTTTTGAAAGATATTTTCAACAGTAAAGAATTCCAGATTGGCCTTTTTTCCCCAATAACTTTAAAGATTGAATTTCATTATCTTTTCCCTTCATAATTTCTGAGAAATATCAGTCATATCTTTTATCCTTTGTATGAAATATGGCTTCTTTCTATGGCTACTTTTAAGATTTTCTCTTTATTACTGGTTTTTAGCAACTTGAATATGATGTGCCTTGGCCTGGTTTTCTTTATGTTTATTCTGCTTGGGGTTCATTGAATTTTGTTAATCTGTAGGATTATAGTTTTCATCAAATTTGACAAAAATTTGGTCTTTATTCCTCAAATAAATTTTCTTCCCATTTTTCCTCTCCTGTCTTTTTGGGATTCCAGTTACATGTGTCTTATATCAGGTATCACTGAGGCTCTGTTCATTTTTTTTTCTAGGCTTTTTATTGCTATGCTTTATTTTGGATAGTTTTTATTGCTATGTTTTCAAGTTCACTATTCTTTTTTTCTAGAGTGTCTAATCTACTCTTCAACCCATTCAGTAAATTTTTTTCATTTTAAACATTGTATTTTTTATCTCTAGAAATTTCTTTTGTGTCTTTTATATATTATCCATTTCTCTTTCCATCATAGTCATTTTCCTCTACCTTCTTGAAAATATGGAACATATTTATCCTAGCTGTTTTAACTTCATTGCATAATCTCTGACATTTCTAGATTAGGTCCTGTTGGTTGATTTTTCTCCTAGTTATGGGTCATATATTTCTACATCTTGGCATACTTAGTAATTTTTTTTTTGGATGCCAGACATTGCAGGTTTTTTGTTGTTGGTTCTTGGATTTTGTTTTATTCCTTTAAATAGTGTTAACAGTTAAGTTACATGGAATCAGTTGGTATTCCATTCCAAGCTTCATTTGGAGCCTTAATTTTATGATTTTTAATGGTGTGTCTAGAACAACATTTCGTCTAGGGCTAATTTGGCGCCACTACTAAGGCAATATCTTTCTGAGTATACTACCCAAAGGGCCATGTATATAAGGCCTTTCCACTCTGTCTAGTGGGAACAAACTATTCAACAACTCTCTGTGATCTCCAGGAATTATTATTCCTATTCCTTTCCAGTGATTCCTTTCCTGGCTTTGGGTAATTTTCTCTTAGGAATGCCAGATCAATACTCAGCCCAAGAACTAAGGCAACCCCTCTGCAGATCTTTGGTGCTCACTCTCTATGCAGCTCCCTTCTCTATGGTGCTCTACTCAGCAAATTCTACCTACCTTGTTCTCTTAGACCCCTCAACTCAGTGAGAACTCCAGGCTCTGTTTGGGTTTGGCCTCCAGTCAGTTAGCTAGTGCAATAATAGGATTACCTTTTTTGTTATCCTCCTCTAAGAGAATACAGTCCTGCACTGCCTATTGTCCAATGTCAGAAAATCGCTGTTTCATATATATTGTCTGATTTCCTAGTTGTTTAAGGTAGAAGGGCAAATCTAGTGTCTCTTGCTGCTTCTTGGTTGGAAGCAAAAGTCGCTCTTCAATTTTTAAACTTTGTTTTATCATCACGTTAAACTTTCTTCCTCTTCCTTACCCCAATTCAGCTTGGCTACTGTCTCCCTCGTCCTATAAAGATATGCCATTTTTTTGAGTAAAGAAACCCCCATTTTGGGGCTGGACTGGTGGCATAGTGGTTAAGTTCGCATGTTCCACTTTGGCAGCCCAGGGTTTGCCGGTTCATATCCTGTGCCCAGACCTACACACTGCTCATCAAGCCATCCTGAGGCAGCGTCCCATGTAGAAGAACTAGAAAGACCTACAACTATGACCTACAACTAACTACTGGGGCTTTGGGAGGAAAAAAAAGGAGGAAGATTGGCAACAGATGTTAGCTCAGGGCCAATCTTCCTCAAAAAAAACAAAAAACCCCACCAAAACCCCATTTAATTCATCTAAAGTTCACAAGCTCTGTTTTAGCCACACATACTTGTCTGAAAAGTATTTTTTAATTCTCAAGATGAGAAACATAACCACAACATCTCAGCTATGATGACATATTTTTCTGGATATTCTCTTTTCTCTGCACCATTCCCATATTGATCCACGAGCTAGTAGATTGGACTTAATGCTCCTTGTATCACTCCACCTTTCTCTCCTTCACTAACTCCAGTTACACTGGCCTTTCTGTTCCTCAGACACACTCATCTTTCTTGTGACTTAGGGCCTTTGCACGTGCTGTCTCCTCTATCTGGATGCTCTGTCCTGAGATATCTGACACCTTCATATTAGTTAACCTTCGGGTCAAATATTGCTCCTTCAAAGAGTCTTCTTTTGCATTGTAATCTAAATTGTCTCTCTGCTCCTCTGTATCCCTTCCATTCCACTCTTTATCACAACAACCTCCTTTATTTGTTCCCTAACACTTACCACCATATAATATTTTACTGTAGATTTATTTGGTTACCTTGCTTATTTGCTAGTCTCTCACTCTTCCCCATCCCTACCCCACACCTGGAATGTGTGTTCCATGAGAGCAGGAGTTAGACTATCTCATTCACTCTGGTATTCCCAGTTCACGACACTTAATAGGTACTCAATTTTTGGTTGAATGAATGATTAAATAAACAAATGAATGAATTCATGTAACTTTCTTCAAAATACCAAAAGAATTTATATACTAGGAGTCATGTACAGGCTAGACCATGGTGCTCAGATGAATACTTTAAAACTTCCTTTTTGGTTAGAATAAAGAATGTGAAAACTTCTATCATGTAAGTATTTCTCTGAAAAAAAAATCAGCCTCCAAGAAAAATAATTTTTGTGTCATACATAATTGCTTCTTAAATTACTTCTAAATAATTTTCTTATGTGTCATACACAATTACTTCTTAAATTCAGAATTCAGGAAAATGCCAATCTACTTCATTTATAAAAATTTATTTATAGAGCAAAAAGAAGAAACACAGACAACAACTGGATAGAAAATATAATGGAAAAATGATCCCATTTTCAATGGCAACATGAAAAATAACATATCTGGTGATAAACAACAAAATTTTTAAAATATATATGAAGAAATCTTCAAAACACAATTAAGGGACGCAAAAGTTAAGCTGAATAAATGCCTGTTCTTGGAAAGGGTTACTCAATGTTATCAGATTCCCATTCTCCCTAAATTAATCTATAAATTTAAAGTAATGCCAAAAGAAACACTAAAGATTTCTCAAATGTATAAGGAAAAATAAATCTGTCAGAGTAGAGAGAAAGATTCTGAAAAAAGAATAATAATAATTCCACCAATAATCCGTGACTAGCTCTCTACATATTAAGATATATTATAAAGCTATCTTAATCAAAAGTATACAGTGCTGAGGCAAACTTAGACAATGAACAGATCAATGAAAAAGGAGAGTCTAGAAATACACCCAAATACATATGGAAACTTAGTGTGTCATAAAGACACCATTTCATTTTAGTAAAGAAATGATTAATTAATTAATGCATGGTGTTAGGACAAATGGGATGCCATCTGAAAAAAATATTTTTAAAAAGTTGGATCCCTGCTTTACTCCTTAAACCACTATAAATTCCAGCTGGATCAAGGATTTAAATGCAAAAAACCCCTGTAAACGTTAATAAAAGAATCACCAGAGAATTTTTAATAATCTTAGAGCGTTTGGAAGCATGGCACAAAATTGAGATGCTATTAAAAAGAATGGTACACTTGATTATTAAAATGTTGTAAATTTTCTTATTAAAACACCATGAGAAAAGTCAAAAGTCACTTTGGAAAAACTATATATATATATATTTTTTTTTTTTCCCACAAAAATGGGGCTAATGTCAAAGTAAGAGAACTCAGGAATTAGTAAGAAAAGGGCCAACAGCCAAATAGAAAAATGACCAAAGTGCATAAACAGGCAGTTCACAGAAAAAGAAATCAAAATAGCTTTGAAACATTAAAAAATATTCAAGACTTGCCATAGTAAGAAAAATCTGAATTAAAATTGCAACAAGATGCCTACCAGATTGACAAAAAGTCTAAAAAATTTAGTAACACATATTTTCAGCAATGGTGAGAAAAGATGGAAACTCGTGTTTTGGGTAGGAGGGTAAATTGGAGAGCAATTTGGCATTATCTACTAGAATTTTAAATGTTTGTAGCTTTTGACCCAGTTATCCCACTTCTAGGCATTGATCGCTTCAGTGGTACTGGCACCTATACAGAGGCATGTGTCTACAAGGGTATCAGCCTTGCTTGGACTTGCAAAATTGGAAAGGACCTAATGTACATTGAAGCGCTCCACCTAGATCCCTTTTTCTGGGCCGGAACATCCATCTCCAGCCACTCTAAATTGGCTGCTGATGTCTTACAGCTGCATCCTTCTCCAGAGAATGATCCTCAACTGACAAGGACCCTTCTCACCTGGAAATGGCTGGGAGGTTACCTGTGGATTTTGCTCAAAGCCAACGTCTGACATCTATGGTGGGGCAACACCATTTCCTGGTGCCGTGCATGCTCCAGAACTCCCTATGGGCTCAGGCTGAGGTTAGACTTGACTAAAACCACATCTTTACTTAGCTGCTTCCTCAGCCCTGTCTTTTCTCCCTTGCTTCTCTATAGGTTTCCTTTGAAAGCGCTTCTCAAGAAATCACTTGCACAAGAATCCCCATCTTGGGCTCTGCTTCTAGAGAATCCAGTCTAAGAAACCCACTAACAGGAGACTGATTAAAGAAATTATAGTCTTCCATATAATGGGGCACTACCTAGACATTAAGAGGAGAGACACAACGGCTCTTTATTTTCTGGTATGGAGTGATCTCCAAAATAGAGTGCAAAAAGCAAGTTGCAAATAAGTATGTATAATATACTACCTAGGGGTCTAGTGGTTAAGATTAAGCACTCTCGCTGCAGCAGTCTGGGTTAGTTTCCTGGTCAGGGAACCACACCACCCATCTGTCGGTTGTCATACTGTGACAGCTGCGTGTTGCTGTGATGCTGAAAGCTATGCCACTATGTGATGCTGAAAGCTATGCCAAAGCTATGTCTTTGAAAACTATTTCAAAGACCAGCTGGGTCACCCATGGTGGACAGGTTTCACTGGAGCTTCCAAACTAAGACAGACTAGGAAGAAGGACCTGGCCACCCACTTCCAAAAACATTGGCCATGAAAACCCTAGGAATGACAGCAGAGCATTGTCTGATAGAGCACTGGAGGGGGAAAGGATGCCTCAAAAAGACCAGACAGGGATCCACTGTGCTATACACAGGGTCGCCAGGAGTCAGAATCAACTCCACAGCACTAACAACAATATACTATCATTTGTGTTAATACAGACAATTTACAAGTATGTTCGAATATGCATAGACTGTCTCTGTAAGTATAGCCAAGAAATAAATAATAGCATTTGCTTGGTGCCAAGGGGAGTTTAATTGGGGTCTGTGAGATGGAAGGGAGGAAGAGAGAGTGAACTTTGCGCTATATGCTCTTTTCTACCTTTTTAATATTCCACCACGTAAATAAATTGCCTATTAAATTATATTATGTCAACAATTTTAAAGTAAAAGCCATTAGTACTATCCAATAACTTAGATTTAGGAGAATGTTACTTATCAAAAGTCTTCTCTCTTGCCCTGAGGAATAGATTGCATTTTAAAAAATTAGCGTGTCAGTACTCCAACTGGAAACATATGTTTTTGAAGTCCTTGGAGAATGCTTAAAAAATTATCTAATTATCTGAATCTTAAGGATTCTCTCTGCAATTTTGTTAAATTACTTAGTAAACACTTCCCTTATAGGTAATGCCATGGTAACTTCCAACTGGCCCTTTCTAAATGATAACAAATTGCTGAGTATCTTCATTCCAATGAATGTGCTTTTTCTGAACTTGAACTTAATTACCATTCATTTTACTGCATTAATTATGATAGATTTCCTGCCTCCTTCATGTCTGTAGACATCACACCATTATTAGTTATATTTGGTCTTTGGATACAAATTATACACACAGATCTGCTGTGAATTGTACATTATATTAAAGATCAAACATGCTGGACTTAGGGCTTAAACACAGAAGTAATGACAATGCGCATTCCTGAAACTTGAGACTGCACATCATCTCTGCCTCATAAAACAGAGGTCATGACTATATGAAAAACTTGTTGCAGCTGAAACATGATAGGAGATATCTCATGCCTCTCTCTCTGTCCATCCCTGAGACCAGGGTGTACAACAACCAAAAAACTGGCCTTCACCCTTCACCTGCGTGGGTGCTGCTGTTGGAGGCAGACAAAGTACTCTTCCAAAGTGCTTCACCCTACCGGCTCCCCTCCCCACCCCTCCCCCCTGCCGCATTTGCATATCCACTCAGAGATGGCACAGGAAACCAGGGCAGGGAGGCTGGGGTGAATGCATCTTGTGGGAGTGGCCATTTGTTCTTCCATTTGTTCAATAAACATTTAATGAATCCTTATTCCGTGCTAGGCTCTGTTCCTAAGGTCTGGGCACACAGTGGTGAATATGGCACCTAGCCTCATGGAGACTTACTCTGAGGCAAGACAGTAAGCAAACGAGAGTCAGACAGTAAGCAAATGTTCTTTTCATGTACAA